GCGTTTCTGTCTGGGAGAAAGCTGCACTTCCAGCTCTTGCCCTTATTCCAGGCAAGTTAGTTTCTCCATGAATGTCCCAGGTTCCTTTCAAGCTGCTGCCCCAGTACTGGATCTCAGAGGGAGTGCTTCTGAGTAAGTCCATGCACTGGCCCTTTAAGAGGATCTGCCTGGGCTCCAGTAACCTCTGTGTCACTCAGCCACAATCCCTCCTGGTTTTTACAGCCAGAAGCTGTGGGGACTTCTCTTTCCGGCACTGGAACCCTGGGCTGAGGGGCCTGATATGGGGCTGGGACCCCTCACTCCTCTAGGGAAACTCCACAAGCAATACATTCCTCCTGATTTTAAACTGTCACATGTGGGTTTGGGACCAGCAGGTTCTGAGATTCTACCCCATGTCTCTGCCCCTCCAACCAGTCTCCATGTGCTTCTCCTTTAATTCCTTAGTTGTAAGACTTCCATTCAGCTAAATTTCAGGTAGTTCTGAATGCTGGTTCTGTATTTTAGTTGTAATTTTGATATGGTTGTGGGAGGTGGTGGCAAGTACCACATTTACCTATGCCTCCATCTTGCCCAGAAACCCCCTGCCTGTATTCTTATAGAGGTTCCCTTGTATGCAACATTTCTCTTTTCTCTTGCTGCTTTTAAAATTCTTTGTCTTTTATTTTGGGGTAAATTAATTATAATATGTCTCAGTGTAGTCATATTCAGGTTTGACCTTTTTGGGTCTCTTGAATCTGGATGTCTGTTTCTTTCCCCAAGTTTGGGAAGTTTTTAGCCATTACTGCTTTATATGTGGTGGGACAAAAGTAGGTTTAGAGTTGTTCATATGGAAAATAATATCATAATTAATAAATAATAAAATCAGAATAAACTATGTGTTTTGCATACTCACAATTATAAACCTACTTTTGTTCTACCTTGGGTATACTTTCTGTTCATTTATCTTTCTTTTCTTTTGGAATTTTCATGCTATTTTTTTAAATTATGTTCCATAAGTCCCATAGGCTTTCTATACTCTTTTTTAAATTCTTTTTTTCCTTTTTGTTCCTCTGACTGGATAATTTCAAATGTCTTATTTTCCAGGCCACCAATTCTTCTGAAGGGTTGAGTATGCTTTTGAAGCTCTCTGTTGAATTCTTCAGTTCAGTTACTATATTTTTCAGCTTATGGTTTCTGTTTCTCTTTCTTTCTTTCTTTCTTTCTTTCTTTCTTTCTTTCTTTCTTTCTTTCTTTCTTTCTTTCTTTCTTTCTTCCTTCTTTCTTTCTTTCTTCTTTCTTTCTTTCTTTCTTCTTTTTTTTTTTGGATGGTTTTTATTTCTTTGTTGTACATCTCTTTTTGGTTATGCATTATTTTCCTAATTTTGTTTAGTAGCCTGTCTGTGTATTTTTATAGTTCATCAAACTTCTTTAAGAGGATGATTTTGAATTCTTTGACAATTCAAGGATTTTCATTTCTTTATAAACAGTTATTAGAGCTTTAATAGTTTTCTTTAGTGGTGTAAATAAATAGTTACCTGATTTTTTTCATGATCCTTGATTCTTTACATTATTAGTATCTGCACATTTGCATAAGTGGTCTCCTCTTCCAGACTTTGTAAGTTCACTTTGGCAGAAACAGTTCTTCACCAGTCAGCTAAGTTTTGTTTTTTAAGTATGTCTGCTGGTAATGTCCTTGGACAGATGGTGCCTGCTATTAGTTTGTTTTTCAGTGAGGCAACTTTTTTATATCTGGTGTCAGGGTTGTAGGTGTCACTGGCTAAAAACAGCTAGATAGTACTGCTGGCTTTGTTCCCTGCCAGAGGGAGGCTGTAGAATGGACTCTGAAGTTGCCTGGATTCTCTAGTCAGGCGTACTAGATGTTTGGGACTGGATACTATATTAAGTAGTAGATGAGGCTATGAATTAGCTTCCCAGACCTGGTAGCAACAGGACAGGACCCAAGGCCTTTATGGTTCATTTTCGGGGGACCTACATCAGGCAAATATTCTGGTTAGGTGAGGCCACCAATTTTGCTTTGAAGACAGGGAAAGCCATGGACTACTGATCTGGTTCGAGGTGAGAGATGGATATATGGACTGGGTGCAGGCAGTGAAGAGGATGAGGTATAATATGGACTTTAAATTGGAGGCTGAACACACAAGATTGTCAGGCATGCTAGATGTGAGGATGAGAACAAGGTGTCAGTAATTCCTGGATTTTGCTTTCAGCATCTGTGTAAATGATGCTTCTATTTATTAATAAATGAATGATCAAGGAAATAATTGTGTGGGTTAAGGGGTCAACAGTGCTGCTTCGAACATGTTAAATTTGACATAAAACAACTAAGCTAGAGATGGCAATTTGGCAGCCATCAGCATAAAGGAGATGTGGTGGTTTATATACATGTCTGCAAATTTTTACGCACACCTCCCATTAAGAGGTGAGGCCTGTGCTCTCCTTTTGAATCTGAGCTGGCTTTAGTGACTATTTTGTAACCTACAGAATATAGCTACTTCTCAACTTAAGACAGTAAACATTATGCAACTTCCATCTGGTTCTCTTGGAATGCTTATTCTCCAGAGGCCCCTTCTGGAGAAGTTCTCTTTCAGTACTCAGCTTCCATGCTGTGAGAAGCTGTAAGGAAAGCTATGTATAGATGCTCCAGTTAACAGTTCCAGTTGAACCTGTCCTTTAACCATCACTGCCCAGCTGCCAGACATGTGAAAAACCTCACCCCATGGTCTGGCACCAGAACCCAATATTTTCCTGGCTGAACAGGACTGGAGCTGGGCAACTAATATATCTGCATCTTACCATAGAATCCCCTTCCACATGGAGCTTAGAAGTGGATCTTCCATCCTCAGATGTTCCAGTCAATTAAGTCACCCCCAGTTGTTTGAGTCTTCCTTTCTGAGGTCCTAAGCATTGTGGAGCAGAGACAAGTCATCCTTGCTGTTCCCTGTCCATATTCCTGGCCCATGGGACTAATTAAAGGCCGTTGTTTTGTGCCACTAAATTTGGTGGTGGTTTAATGGCAGTAACTGAAGCCATCAGGACAGATGAGATCATTTAGGGAGTGTAGAATGAAAAAAGAAAGAGGAAAACATTGTAGGGAACCCCAGCCTTTAATAGATGGGAGAAGTTAAATAATAAAAACACAAACAGAAAGGTAGCAAGGGGTAAAAAGCAGAGATATCAGGAGACTGTTCTGTCATGAAAACCAAAGAATAAATTCAATGTGAACAGTATCAAATAATGCTGACAGGTCAAATAAGATAACTAAAAAATGTCCTTATGTTTTAGTAACCAGGGCACTGGTGACTAAGCAAGAACAGCTTTATTGAGAGCAGATAAGAAAGGTAGGATTCTTATAGAAGAGAGGAGCAGGGATGAAGAACAAAGGAGGGACTGGTGTCAGGTAGAAGGGAAGCCGCCTTTTGCCTATGACAGAAGGGAAGGCAGATACAGTGTGTGCAAGTCCCAAGAATTGTTTTGAGTCCATGACAAAATGTTTAGATAGTTTCTGAGGGTTTTTGTTCTTCCCTAAACCAAACTTTTGGAAGCAAAAGAGAAGTGGGAGGTGATTTTTGCTCCCAATATGTACTTTTGGCTTACCTGGGAGCCCCTTCCTGACACCAGTACCCCATTAATATTCTCAATTTAGTGCCCAAATTTACCCATGCTAGGACTAGAGCTGAACAACTAGTAATCCTGCATCTCTTCACACAAGACCTTGCCACATGAAGCTCAGGACAAGGATATGCTGGAGTAATTGAGGAGGTCACTAGTACACCTGAGAGTTTGGGCTCTGCATTCCCAAGTTTAGCCTCTTGGCTGTCCTTACTTGGTATTTAATCAATTTATTTTGAAGCTGCTAACCCATCTGAGTTGAGCGATAAGCAAACAAACGATGAAGTTTGTGTTCTTGGGTTGGACTTTATGGGGGTTCCAGGATGTGGAGATATTCAGGGGCAGAGTGGAGCACCAGGGAAACTGCTGGAAAGAGTACTGTTGACTTGGTTCTGATCATAACCCCGTTTTACTAATGGGGAAACTAAGTCTCAGCTCAGGGGAGGGGCTTGCCCCACATCACATAGCAGCTGTGCTGGATCAAGGTCTGGCTTAAATCCTGGTGTTCATTTTTCTGAATAAATTTCAAACTCTAGGAGAATTCAGCAATGGAAGTGTTGATGTAAACAGCTTGAGCTTTGCCCTAAGACTTGGGGAACATTTTTCAGAAGCAAAGTGGTTTTGGAAGCTTCTCAAGAAAATAACTTAAATATTGATATCAGGTAATTTTGCTAAGAAGGTAGCCATGTGTGATTCACATAGTTGTTCTAGGGGTATAGTGGAACTAGATAAGGACTCTGGAATGCCTGAAGCAGCAGGGCATCCATCAGATGACCACAGGGCTGGAACACACACCAAGGGTTAGATTGTCCAAGTTCCTGATGTTATTTCAGACAAGAAAGCCTTTTATATGAGATTAAATGCTCTGCTAAGGAGACTTTCCCCATCCCTTAGGATTCAGGTGATTTCCTCAAGAAGATCTCATTAGATTATTTGCCAGATTTTCCCCAACTCTGTAATAAATAAGGATCATATACATTTCTCAGCACATGGATCAACCAACCAGACACTCATTCTCTCTGCCTAAGGGAACTATTTCCTAAGGGACATAGTAATCAATGGAAAAGGAATGCTTTTAGAATTGCAATAAAAATAGTTTTATCTATTACTGGGAGTGGATGAATTTTGCAGAGGAAGCAATACAAGTGTTTCCTTCTCTGTCATGTTAGGTAATAAGACCCCTGAGTTAATCAAGCTATGTTTTCACCTGGGTTTTATTTTGGATCACTGTAATAGGTGTCTTGTTCTAGGCATACATTTTTTTTTCTAGCATATTCCAGTGGTGTTAAAAGGTGGAAAATAAGGGTGGCATGAGAGTGGAGGGTGAAAACCAAGAACAGAGTACCACCTATTTTAGACAAAGAGTGATCAAAAAAGTTCTCTAGCCCAAGTACAATTCAGAAAGAATTTAATAAACAGCCGCTAAACATTGTACCAAGCATTTGGAAACACAATTTCTACAGAGGCGAAGGTCAGGCTTCCATTCTAATTCCATAAGACGATCATTAACAGCCCCATTTCCCACCCCCGATCCCCACATATCCACAATAGTACACTCTTCTAGTCATGAATTTACCTATAGTCAGTCTTAGGAATAATGGGACTGGCATGCATTATCCCAGCAATGGCAAGGAAACAGGGGATAGGGAAAGGATGGGTGAAAAGTCAACCAGCAGCTAATATAGACCCTTTAGGAGCTTTGTTCAGGGGTAGACATGGAGAATCTGTTTTTGGTAGCATCTGTGGCTTTGTTTTGGGCTTCTAGGATACTCTGGATGTGTGGCTGGGGCTGCCATCTTAATCTCATTACTTTGAGCCATTACTATTAGAATTGGTCTCCTTGGGTAACACATTGAGACTTTCAAAAAAACTTTTTGGTATCCAAGCAAACTGCATTCAGGACCCATCAAACCTGTTGAGATTGTGCTGATTCTGAGGTTAAGGTGGACTTCCCTTCTCAATACGGTATTCATTTTGGCCTTTGGAAAGAAGCACATGATGATTCTCTATTATGATGATTCTCTATTAGACACTTGTAAGGAGCCTAGGTAAGTCACTCAAACATCAAAGACTTAGTTTATCTACCTTATAAAAAATTTATAATTATAACTCTCTTTTACTCACGTTAAGAACAAATAAAATTAAATGGCCCTTAAATAATCTATTATTAAACTGGTAATAAAGTTAATGATTTAGTTGACTCAGAAATCAACTAGACTCTGAGGCACCTCTCCTTAGAATCAGCATTAACAGAGGACCAAAGTTCTCTGACACAGTGGGAGCAAAGTTCTTGGGCCTGGACTAGGGTGTGGAATGTGGAGGATATGGAAGGAAGAATTTGATTTTTTTTTTCTGCCAGTGGTCCTGTCTTTTGAGCAAGAATTCAAGCCTCAACTACCACCCAGACCATATATCTTGCTCCATCCAGTACTTGACTAAGTACCTTGGTAGGGAAGTGACTTTTCTATCACTCTAATCCTTTTAAAATTATTTTTGTAGGCATCTCATCTAGATTTTTTTCGTATCTATTTATACTTTTTTAGTATAAATTTTAAAAATACTTGATCCTTTTCTTAAAGAGTTTGCAGGTGGCATTGAGTTCAAACTAAGCAGTGTCCAGCTAGCTACAAGTGTTGAGGGTTTGAAAGAAGGGGGATTTCCTGGAAGAGATATATACCAAAAATGTTACTATTTTTCTGGAGGTCTGGACATAGCAGGGCAGCAGTCATCTTGGTGTGAGGCTGGCCCAATTTTTTGTATCGACTTTGGCCATACATGGTAGACAGTGGTGAGCCTCAATTGTCCCCACTAACCTCCGGGTCAATAAAGGGGCTGGAACCATGTTCAGAGGACAGCACTAGCACCTGCATTTGCTATTAGTACTTATGCCTATTGGGTCCTGCTGTAGGCAGGGAAGGTGGCAGGAAAGACCACATGGGATAGCCCTGCCTACTGAGTCAGAATCATCTGATCTGGACCAGTTAACAATCCTCCTTGGTTTGGACCTCTCAAATAGCCAAGGATCCCAATACAGGTAATAGAGCCTCCTGTACTTTTTGCAGTGAGCAAGGTGCAATGAATACATGCAGTGCCCTCAACTGGGAGAGATTGGCAGACTAAGATGAGCAACTGGACAAATGGCAGTGTTTGGCTCTGATGAGGGTACACTCAGCAATGTTAGAGGGAGAAGTAGTTTTTTTGTTTTGTTTTTTCATTGAGATTCATAAATATGAATTGAGAGTCACAGCTTGGTAGAGGGTTAAAAAGAAGAATCTTGGAACACATGAAGAGGAGCCCTGGGGGTTGGGTACCTGGATGCTTCCTAGGGTATACTGTGCTCTGGTTGCTGTGTCGCCACTATCTACTGTTTGCGGATCATGCCCTTGATAGCTGACTCCCGGTTGACATATGTGGCCCAATAGACCAGATTGAAAATGGCAAAGAGCACAGGAAAGATGATGCGGGAAATTTTGTCAACCTTGCTGACACTGTTGTAGGTCTTGGTCTCAGTTGGGATGTCCTGCACATAGGTGGTCTTCGGTGAAGCAATAATAGTCGGGGTTGAGGAGGCACTGGGAACTGTGCCCTGGGAAATGGTGGAGAACTCAGTGTCCTTAGCAAGGTTGATGGGATAGGTGGTCCCCACGATGTTGAAGGTGGTGCTGGTTTTTTTTGTCGGAGCTGCTGGTGTTTTCTTCTAGGGGCCAGAAAATGTAGGAGAGAAAGCGGAAGAAAAAAATGGAATTAATTCTTTACACTGAGCACCTTCAGAGGCTGTAGAAAGGAGGAACCCTGAGGGAAGTTAAGAAACAAGGGCCCTAAAGCCAATAGCACTGAGTAGCCAGGTTTGTGTCTAAAAACTTGCATCATCCTGGTTTACTAGCTATGTGGCTTTGGCCAAGTAACTTCTCCTCTTAGAGCTTTAATTTTGTCATCTGTAAAATAAGGATCAAAACATTTGACAGGGTTGTTGAGAGAATCAGACAACAGAATGGTGGTAGAAATCACTTGACAACTGTAAAATGTTGGTCACACATAGGGTCCTATATAATCATGTGACTTTATCCTCATAGTAACACTAATGAGGTAGGTGGAGGAGATTACTACTATTTGACAGATGAGAAAAAGCCTCAGACTGAGTGGCAGAGCCCACAATAGTCATCTGGGCTCCTGAATTTTATCCAGGGTTGCTCCATGCTGCTTTCTATAAGCATAAGACACTTTTTGGTTACCCGAGAAATAACTCCAAAAGGCTTCAACCATCAAGTGGCACATCTCCTGTGGGGAAGAGAGCTCGGTGAGTCTGCAAGTCATTTTGTCTTAAAGATACAGTAAATACTACGGCATATTTACATCCATCATTACAACAGTATCTTACCCTTCATGCACTGTAAATGTGTTCATCAAACTAGGGAACACACCAGGGTTTTCCACTCTTATAAGGCTGCAGGCCAGAGACACAAATGTTCCCCTCTGACACAGCAAAGGCAGGGACAGCTGGGGGCTTGCTATGACACTCTCTTTTGGATTTTTTTCAGAGTAAAAATACCCAATGGGAAACCAGTATGCACACATGTGACCATTTGTTCTCACATATATAACTTGTGCATACATGGACCCTCCATATAGAACAGAGATGAGACAAAGACCAGGCCTGAGTTAGAAGAGAGAAGCTGAGGAAGGGGAGGCCAAGAGAGCAGGCTAGTCCCAGACTCAAGCCAAAGTTAGCGGCCAAGTTCATAGTTGCCTCACTCCTCACCCTGGCCTTTTCCTCCTTCCATCCCTCTTTGTTTCTAGGGACAAGTGAGGATAGATGAGCTTCAGAAATGCTCAAGCATATCTGATAAAAAGTGATGATTAGTTTTATTGCCCTAATTTCACACACCTCACATTGTTCCCTTTCTCAGTGTTACTTTGCTGCCTAGCATCTCTGTTTTACCTCTTTACTCCTCTACTTCTTATGTGTTTGCTTCCTGGGTTTCTCTACTTCTCCCTTCTCTGGGTTTCTCTTACTGACCTCTTTTTCCTCATCCATTTCTATTTATTTTCTTCTTTACTTGAGAGTAACCATCATTTTGGTCCTTGTTTCCCCTTTAGATCACACTGCCATTTACCTCCCTGATCCTAACAATAATTTTTGCCAAATATTTACTAAGTATCTACTAGGCCAAGAATTATGCTAGGTGTTTATGGACGGGTGGGAAGGCTAAAAGATGAGTTAGTTTTAGTCCCTGTTTTCCAGGAGTTCACAGTCCAGTGGGAGAGACAGTGAACACAGCATGGCCATATAATGTGATCAGGGTTCTAACAGATATGAGCAGAGTATGATAGGAACTCAGTATAGAGAGGGGTAAGGTACCTACAAGTGTTGGAATTGGTGGCTCAGAGAAAGCAATGAGGTTTATGAGCTGGGTTGCAAATAAGGAGGAATTCGTTACATAAAGATGCAGGACAGTTCAAGGGGCTGCTTGTTTGAGGGGTGACAAGGAGTCTGCTGCAGCTGAGTCACAGTGTATACAGCAAAGGCCTTGGATGTCATGTCCTCCTGTTCTGCTTGCCTGTGTTAGTTTCAATGTTTGCGATCAAAGAGGGGGTGCTGGTATAAGTAAATGAATAGTCTGACTAATAGGACATTTAAAAAGCAATACTGGTCTTTCTCTTTGGGGATTGCAGTCACATTGCTACAAGTAGAAGGGGGGAAGAACTCTAAGGCTTCTAAAGGTCTTGTAAATGTTTTAAATACTACAAGAAACTCATTTGCTCTTTTAGCAAATTTATTGGGTAAATAGAAGCCTGCTGCTAAATGCACCAGCTGTTAGATAAAAGATCACTTTACTGTTTGCCTGCTTACTTATTAATTCGCTTAGTAATATCTTTTTATCATGGGTAAACACACACACAAAAGAAAAGAATAAAAGAAAAGAAAACAATCTACTACCCTGACTTTGCTGGAAGCTTTCACACATTATTTTATTTAGTCATAAGCTGGTTATGACCAAATCTCTCAAACAATCATTCTGAACAGCAAACACTTTCTTCAGCTCCATAAGCATTTTGTAATTTATAGATGGGGAAAAGCAGCATTAGATTCAATTGCATATTTTTAATTAATAAAGAAAAATTATGTTTTCATTTCCCTTGCCTTTTTCACCATAGCCCATTTTAATCAGCCAGCATAATTTTTACCTAAACTGTCAAAGAAGAAAATCAAAGCAAAAATTATAATTGCAATAATACAAGAAGAGGAGTCAGAGATTATTGGTTAATATTTCTGCACTTAGTTTTCTAATACTTGGAAATTGCTCTGGAATTTGATAGATACAGACTAGACTGACTTAACTTTGCCCAAGTTGCAATTCTATTCCTACCTCCCTAGCCAAGTACCTGGCCTTAGTCATGCAATAAATGATTACTGAATGAAAAAATGACACACACACCCCCACTCAAGATTCTCCATGTCATTTGCAGTTTGTTTCTCCTGAGTCTTGTCTTATCCTGTAACAGAGAGCATATCTCTATAGTTCAGTAATTCCCATGCCACAAAACTGAAACTGACTTCTCTAAGTTCCCCCAAGCAGTCTGACCTCAAGACAAGAATACCTGTCTTTCTAGAAAGCTACTTTATCTGGGTTTTGGGATGAGGCAATGAAAACTTTTATGGACCAATGCATGTTCAACTCAAGAGTTTTCCTCAAATGACACTCCCGTCTATTGTTTCCAGAAGTACAATTTAGAGTTAGTTGTAGCCCTGAATGTACTTGACACCCAGCCAGGACTACAGAGTATATGCAGGTATGGTTCAGTGTTTCTGTGTCAACTCCCTAACAGTCATCCAACTTTCTTGAAACCCAGTTTTCAGAAGCAGGACAAAATGATGGAGTCTATGGTAAGTGAGACTCAAAGGCAAATCAGAGTAATGATAAAAAACAAACAAATAAAAACCCACAAAAATGAACAACACAGTTTTTAAAATGGGAAAAGGACTTGAATAGACATTCATCCAAAGAAGATATACAAATGGTAATGCTGAGCATGAAAAGATGCTCAACATTACCAGTCATTAGGGAAATACAAATCAAGAACCACAATGAGATATTACCTCACACCCATAAAGATGCTTGCTATCAAAAACAACAGCAAAACCAGAAAATAACAAGTGCTGACAAGGATGTAGAGAAATTGGAATCCTTTTGCAATTTTAGGAATGTAAAATGGAGTACCCTCTATGGAAAAAGTGTATGTTGGTTCCTCAAAAGTTTAAAAATAGAATTGAAATATGACCCAGCAATTCCACTTCTAGGTATATACTTCCCAAAATTGAAAGTAAGGTCTCAAAAAAGATATTTGCACATCAATGTTCATAGCAGCATAATTTCCAACAATAAAAATGTGGAAGCAGCCCAAGTGCCCATAGAAGAATAAATAAACAAAACATGGTCTAAATATACAATGGAATATTATTCATCCTTAAAAAGAAAGAAAATTCTGACACATTCTACAATATGAATAAACCTTGAGGATATTATGCTAAGTGAAATAAACCAGTCACAAAGAAAATACTGTATTATTCTACTTACACGAGAGTACTTAATAGTAGTCAGATTCATAGAGACAGAAAGTAGAATGGTGGTTGCCAGTGGAAGGGAGCATGGTAATTTGTTGTTTAATGGGTACAGAGTTTCAGTTTTGCAAGATGAAGAGTTCTGGAAATTGGTTGGACAACATTGCAAATATACTTAACACTTCTGAACTGTACTAACAAAATGGTTAAGACGGTAAATTTTAGGTTGTTTAATGAGAAAGATTAATTAAAATAAGAGACAACTAAAATATGAGGGAGAAAGCACAAGAAACATGCAGAGGGTCATAAACAGTAAGTCAAAGGAATTCAAAAGAGGAAAGGAGCATGTGAAATTAGGAGGAGGTCAATAAGCCAACAAAAAGGGGAGAAAATTTAGGTATAAGAAAAGTAATCACTTGGACCAGTTTTCTGAGAGGGTGGGAGGTATCCAGGGCATAATTGGGGAATTATATGAGGCCAGATCACAGCTAAATAAAGAGGGGATGAGACTTAAATATTATCTGTGCTTTGGTGGGATGAAAGGTACACAGTAAGTAAGGGAAATCTCATACAATAGTTTTTACACTCCCCATGCAGAAGTTGAAGTGAATGGTCAAGATTTAAAATAGATTTTATAGGGAATAGAAGACAGAGTACTGACAAGAGTACTTAATAGTGGTCAGATTCATAGAGACAGAAAGTAGAATGGTGGTTGCCAGTGGAAGGAAGCATGTTAATTTGTTGTTTAAGGACACAGAGAAGGATTGCAAGCATGATGAGCAGAATTCAAGAGTATAAGCTCATGAATGGCAGCAATCTATCAATGTCTGTGGAATTTTTTATTAGAGAGGAGTTGGATTGAAGTGAGTGAGGAGGCCGAAAGTGGCAGTGAGTGACAGCAGTGATATTCCATGCAGCCAAGGCTGGATAGAAAAGTAAGGAAAACAGAAGGAATCATGGATTTTGAGAAACTACAGAGGTTATTCAGTTATTCATTCATTTGTTAAGTATTTACTGAACATCTGCTACTTGGGAGGTTCTGTGTTAGGTGCTAGGGCTGTAGCAGTGAAGAGTAAAACATGGCCCGTGCCCTCAAGGAGCTCACATTACAGAGAAGGGGGACATGTAATAAACAT